GCTGTGTTCTATTAATTATCCTTGATTACTCCTCACCTGTTTCTGTTCTCCCTGATTGCATTTCATGTGTTTATAAGCCTTGTGTTTCTAAGTTTGCCTGGTCCGGTATTGATCGATGTTGTGTTTCCTGTGTGTCCCTGCCTGCCTTGTTTTACCCCGTCTTGGCTGATTATAGACATTTACTTTAAGTTTATCCCACATCTCTTCGTTTCACCACAGAAGGCAAATGTGACAATTTCCTGTTTTCACAGCAGAAGTGAACATAAGTCTAAACACGGAGGTCCTTGTAGCCGGAAAGCAGGTTTTATACAGTATCTTCCTCTGGAGTGATCCAAAAGTAATGTGGAAGGGGCTTGGCTCAAAACTTTACTTTTCAAATACCCATTGAAAATGAATAATTATTTGATATACACAGAACAGCTCCTTTATACACCCATCCCTGAGAATCACCAAGCAGAGTTCAATGTTTTTGTTTTTGTGCGTCTATAGAAATAGAGGAAGTGCAAGATGGACAATACAACAATAATTTTGGGGAAGTGAACAGCAACATGCTGCTCATGCTAAAACACAGAGCGATATTATTAGCTCAAGCAGTCATTCAGTGAGCAACCATGATTCACAAAGTAGTCATGAAGTTTCAGTTGCATCCTTCTGTTTTGCTATGAGAACTGTTTTATGCAGGTGATTATGACTTTGAATGGTGATTGTAAAATAACCTCATCACTGCCGCAGCAGGATGTGCCCAGATCCCCTGTGCATTTACTACTCCAGTGAGAGTGTCTTCTGCCCAAAAGATCTGGTAGCCCTGAGTTCCCCCTCAGCCCACCAATGGTGGAGAAAAAAAGGACAAACTGATGTGGCCACTACTTTCCCCTGAAAATGAATGCAGCATCATTCTGTGGGACTTCAGTGGGCACGAAAGAATTGAAGAGTACAGGCTCATGTTAAAATGGGGAGCAAATGAAATACACATTTATGATGAGAGGGTTAAAGTATATTATTCTACTGGTATGTTTGACTTAAAGCAGCATATCATTTAAACTCAAATGGAGAATTAAAAAACGAATTATATAAACTAATATTACATGTGTGCCACGAGGCTTTCAAAAAGTTAGTCATGTCACCCCCCCAATTATACATAAGGAATTGCCACTTTCACATATTGAAAAATATGTGACAATATATTTACTTATATATTGCAATGTATGTAATTTTATATTCAGTAATACACATATTGAACATATATTTATTCATGCAGTGTATATACACACATATATGAAAATATATATTTCTTATGTTAAACAATCATTTAAAATATAAGTGTTTTATATTTTTAAAAATATAGCTAGTTTACAATAGCATAAGCACACCTGCTCATACTAAAGCACTTCATGAATGGACTATCACTGCACTGAAAAGTGCCCAGCTACTACTTTTTAAATAAAGTAACTTACAGACTTAATGGTGTTGGGCCAGTTGTCAAGTTAACCACAGGCTCTACGCTTCAGCACAATGGAAATCCCACAAACTTACACATACCAGAAACCCTTTAAATGTCAAAATAATACAACATTAAACAGACTAAGACAAAAGGAGCCCCTACCAAGTATTGATTACATGTACAGTAAATGAACATACTTACCAGAAGGCCAACAATTCACAAAAAATTTTTTTTTACTGGTCTTATGAAGTATTGTAATTTGTTGAGATAGTGAATTGGTGGGTTTTTGTTAAATGTGAGCCAAAATCATCACAATTAAAATAACCAAAGACTTAAACTACTTCAGTCTGTGTGCATTGAATTTATTTAATACACGAGTTTCACAATTTGAGTTGAATTACTGAAATAAATGAACTTTTCCACGACATTCTAATTTATTGAGATGCACCTGTACAGCCAACAGCTTTTTTAATTTTTTCAAAATTCAGCCTTTGCCTGATATTCACTGGACTCTGCTACAAAACAACACTGATTTTAACATGGTCAGAACATCAGACGGTCACTTCACCGAATGAAGCACCTTCACAATGACTGTTGAGGACTTACCAGCATCAGTTCTCCAGTGTGTGCCAGCAGAAATGAACTAGGTCAGACAAATATGACTCTCCCAGTAAATATGAATGAAGGTAAGCCAGCTGATAAGCAGACACTTATATTTTTAGTGTTAGTTATGAGGCATATTTTAATGTTCCAGCGTGAATTTTTGTGTATTTGTGTATTTACCGTAAAAGAGGAAGCATAAGACGGGCAATCTAAGAATAATATGGAGAACTGAACAGCAACATGATGTGCATACAAACACAGACACTCGTGATGTTTGATGTGGTGAAATGTTACTGCCTGCCTGCACTGTCTTAAAACACAACACTATTTGCTAAATTAGTAACACTTCTATCACACTTGTACTCATATTTTCAAAATGTCACTAAAATAATAATAATAAATTTTATTTATAATACACCTTTCTCAAACTTAAAGCGCTACAACAAAAATACATAATATCAAAATACAGCAATAAATTAAGTTAAAAACACTACTAAAAAAATGTGTCTTAAGAAGTTTCTTAAAACAATCCAACGAAGCAGCATTCCTAATGCAGGCAATGAGTTCCATAATTTAGGCGCATTGTACGAAAAGGCCCTACGAAAAGGAATTTTGTATATAGCCTTTTGAAATCTCTTGATAGAACTTGCTGGTAGACCCACAATAAGAGAATTACAACAATCAAGCCTCGATGTGATAAAGGCATGGATCTCTGCATCAGGCCTAAAGAGAAAGAGTCTAATACGAGCAATGATTTGGAGATGGAAAAAAGCTACTTTTGTTATGTTTTTAAAATGAGAATTAAAAGTCAGCTGAGCATCAAAAATCACACCCAGATTAGGCATCTGCAAAGAAGGGGAAAAATAAATGTGGTCTGTTGAAAGTTAACACCGTGCTATAATGTGTTACGTTTTTTAAAAATGTGGTGTTTATGTAACAATAAAAAGAACCACAAGATGGAGACAAACATCAAACACAGTCTTGACCAAAAGTACATTGCTCATAGAATCATAATCAAGACCACATATATGCCTTCTGTCTTTGCTTTAGGTTTGCAAGAATAAAAAAATAAGTATTTGTGTTCACGAAAGTTATAGTTTATTTAATACTGCGGTATTAAATAATCAATTGACCTGGTGACAGTTTAAATTAAAATTCAATTTGTTAAGATTAGTTCATGCATTATGGTATCATGAACTTTTACAGCATTCATAAATCTAGTTTAATGTTACTATATACGTAACATTTTATCAATACTGAAAATTGTATAAATTAATCCAATTTAGCCTAGGAGCGAATATTAATTTACAATGAATAATAGTAGGCTATATTTCTAAATTATTATTAACCTAGGTTAATAAATGCTATAAAATGGGAGCCCGGTCTCATGAAAATCCGTATAAATAGTACACCAAATAAAAACGAAAACTTGTGGTATTGATAGACAAAAATGGTGAAAAAACGTGTTTGGCCTGCATATAGCCTAATATGCAGTTTTCGCATGCATATGATATGAAATTTGTTAGCATCTACCCCACAACCCTAATCCTACCCAATGCGTAGCATATATCGCATATTTATGCGAATCAATACCACGAGTTTTCTTTTTTATTTGGCGTACTACGCACTTTCATGAGATCGGGTTAAAAATGGTATAGCTACTGTTATAAAGTGTTATCAGTGGACTTAAAGTACATGTGAATGTGAATCATCAATTGAAAGGTGTCTCTATTGACACTCTATTGAAACAGTCGACTCTCGTGCCTTTTCTTTTGCATTTAAATCTTTATTACAAGCAATCCCGCGGGTCTTAAAGGGGTCATATGATGTTGCTAAAAAGAACATTATTTTGTGTATTTGGTGTAATGAAATGTGTTTATGCGGTTTAAGGTTCAAAAAACACATTCTTTTCCACATACTGTACATTATTGTTTCTCCTCTATGCCCCGCTTTTCTGTAACGCGTCGATTTTTACAAAACTCATCGATCTGAAAAGCGAGGTGTGCTCTGATTGGCCAGCTATCTGGTGCGTTGTGATTGGCCGAATACCTCAAGCGTGTGACTGTTTTTCTACCTCCACAAGTGCATCTATTATGTTGCCTTTGTTGATCTAAAAGTGTACCTTTCCTTGTTTTAAACCAAGCTAAAGCTACGTGTTGACTGTGAAACACAGTAGACTTTAATTATATCAATTTATTGTGAAATTACTACATTACCGTGTCAATCCATGTTCATTTTTACAGCGAACAATGCGCTGTCACTTTAATTCAGCGCGTGCAGCACAGCAAAAATAGACTCGGTGCGTAAATGATCTCTGCACTGCTGCAGACGCGCCGCTCCTGGAACGCAATGACGGACTGCAACCGCGCTCTAATCCGTTAACATGGGTGCGTAAAAAAACGCAACGCATATGCACTGCAGACGGAATATGTGTGACGCCTGTTTTAAAAGTGCACTTTTAGATATACAAGGCAAGGCAACATATGCACTTGTGTCTTGTGGAGGTAGAAAAACAAAGTTCTTTAAGACCCGCTGGACTGTTTGTAATAAAGATTTAAATGTAAAAGGCACGAGAGCCGACTGTTTCTGTCAGTGGTAAGTTTTAATTAAAAATATTTGTGATAACCTAACACAAGAAAGCTATATGCTGTATTCAAATGTGTTTCCACTTGCTTGAGCAACTTAATATACACATCTAAAAGCCAAATGCATTTAATACGCTGTTTCTATTAATTGAGTTTAAACGTGAATATATCTATGAAACATTGTGTTAACTGCACTGTTATAAAAGAGGATCACAATGCTGAAAAAAGCACTTTCAGTATAGGCTAACTACGTTTGGATTTGAAATCAAAATAATGGATAAATGTTGTGTTTGTGGTAAAAGCACAATGAGTCCGTGCTGCTTCTGCGCCGCATACGCACTGCAGACGGAGTATGTGTGAAACAGGCGAGGCGCTACGCAGTCCCAGATCTATCATAACTCATTTTTTCCCGAGGTTCTAGAGAGTAGACACAGGCTGAGATTGTAGATTTAGAAGGGTCCGTTTTCCGTTTTCAGAGATGAGCTTGTGTATAGATTGTTGCTGCATGTATAATGGCGTTCAATCGTTTTGGGGGTGTTTCTTACCCTTACGAAATCACTGGTTCAGTGAGGTATGCGTAACGACACAGGACATGATCTCACAAGCCTGGTTATTATGAGGAACTGGTTTCTAAAACTATTAGCAAACAAGTAGGCTAGACAACACACGAAGAAGGAGCTATTCAAAGAGATGGAGGTCTACACAAAAATGATGAAATGGTGGGTAGCCTATATTTTAGTCATTTCTCAACTTTTTAAGACAATGTTCAGTCTGTGTGAAATCTGTTGACACTGTTCGCACAAAACATTATAGGAGGTTGCTGTCTGTTCTGCTTTGTGTCCTGTTCATGACTGGATTATGTAATGGATGCCTAGGGCCAGGAGGTGAGACCAAAACATAAGACATGCATTTGCTCTTTTTTATGTTTTAACTATCGAACTGTGTCGATTACAAAACATTTTCATACTAAGTATTGTATTTAGGAGATTATGATTTCACATTACGACTGACAGAAAAGCTTATCGGAGCTAAGAGAGGACGTGCCTGGATCCCCTGTGCGTTTACTGCTCCAATGAGAGCGCTCTCCGGCCGACAGGTCTGGTTCAGACGCAGTCCCGAGTTCCCCCTCAGTCCAGCCGAGGTGCAGAAGAAGCATGGACTGATGAGGCCGATGATTTCTACGGAATCCGAATGCAGCGTTGTTTTGCGGGACGTGTGGGACACACCTGAGGAGTACGGGTTCATGCTAGAATGGGGAGCGAACGAAAGACACATTTTTCCTGATAGGGTTAAAGTGGCCTCATGTGTTGGTATGTAAGTGGACACTACAAAAAAGGCTAAATGAATAATCTTTCCTAAATAATTATGGTATCAGAGTTTTTCATTGCTTTGAAATTTGAAATATTGCCATGACAACACTGACAGCACCACAACAATTTGTATTGTTATATTTTATTAAATACATTTAATTCAGCTGACTTGATTGCATTAATTCTTAATTTAAAAAAACTCTTAGGCATTTGTATTTCAGTATATTAAATTATTAAATTGTTATATTTTATTAAATACATTTAATTCAGTTGACTTGATTGCATTAATTCTTAATTTAAAAAAACTCTTAGGCATTTGTATTTCAGTATATTAAATTATGTCATGTATTATTATATAATTTTTAAGTTAATTCAGTTTGAAGGCAAGACACAACAGGCTAAATCATGTTTTCTTTTCATGCACTGGTCAGTTTTTAGTTATTCTGGGCTACATGCACTGAGCCAGAAATCTCCACTTCAGTAGAACTTACATACCTCAAAATTTACAGTTATATTCCTGTCTATATTCTGAAGGTTTTTACAGAGGTTTTGTTCAAGTAACATTAACCGGATTTGTGTGTTACTGTATTCCTACAAATATGGTGTATGGTTGTGTACAGTATTTTTTTAGATTGATGGAGTGATAACACCGTTCCAAAATCCCCTCTGTAAAAACCTTTAACGCTAATATGAAACCAGAATTTTGAATCTGGCTTTATCCAATTTTCAGATTACGGTTTGAAATCTATTAAAATGTGTGCATATTTAATTAGTGCTTCATTTACATATTTAGATGTAACATTGCAGAAAACTTGCCATACAAAACAGTTGTCTTTAAGTAATATGATTGTTCAACTGGGGAAAACATGACGATACCTACAAGTCATTGCCAAAAGTTTTGGCAGTGACATAAATTTTGTGTTTTGCAAAGTTTGCGGCTTCAGTATTTGTAGATTATTTTTCCACAGTTCAATGGTATACTGAAAAATAATGATAAGCGTATCATAAGTTTTAAAGGCTTTTATTGGCAAAAAATATATATAATGAGTCAATATTTACAGTGTTGACCCTTGTTCTTCATAACCTCTGCAGTTCGCTCTGGCATGCTGGATATCAGCTTCTGGGCCAAATCCTGACTGGTGGCAATCCATTCTTGCCTTATTAGTTCTCGGAGATGATCACAATTTGTGGGCTTCTGCTTGTCCACTCGCCTTTTGAGGACTGACCACAGGTTCTCTATGGGATTGAGATCCGGGGAGTTGCCTGGCCACGGATCCAAAATTTCAAATGATCTCGAGCCTCTTCTTTCTCTTGCTTTGTGACATGGTGCTCCATCATGCTGGAAAATGCACTGATCATCACCAAATTGCTCATGGATCGTTGGAAGAAATCGCTCTTGCAGGACGTTTTGATACCATTCTTTATTCCTGGCAGTGTTTTTGGGTAGAATTGTGAGAGAGCCCACTCCCTTGGTTGAAAAGCAGCTCCACACATGGATGGTCTCAGGATGCTTCACTGTTGGCACAACACAGGACTCATGGTAGCGTTCACTTTTTCTTCTCCGAACAACCGATTTTCCAGATGTCCCAAATGGTCGGAAGGGAGCTTCAGCAGAGAAAATAACTTTGCAGCAGTCTTCTGCTGTCCATTCCTTGTACTTCCTGCAGAATTTCAGTCTGTCCTTGACATTTTTCTTGGAGAGAAGTGGCTTCTTTGCTGCCCTTCTTGGCACCAGGCCATTATCCAAAAGTCTTGGCCTCACTGAGCTGCTCTCACACCAACCTGCTGCCATTCCTAAGCTCTGCACTGCTGGTGACACGATTCTGTAGCTGACTCCTCAGGAGGAAACGTCCTGGAGCTTGCTGGACACTCTGGGACGTCCTGAAGACTTCACTGCAGTCGAACCTCTCTCCTTGAAGTTCTTGATGATCCAGTAAATGGTTCTTTCAGGTGCAATATTCTTTGTAGCAATTTCCTTGCATGTGAGGCCATTTTGATGCAAAGCGATGATCGCAGCACATGTTTCTTTGAAGGTAACCATTGAACAAGAACACAATTGGAAGCGCTTCTTCCCTCCTTTTATAGCAATCAGTCTGCTCTTCAATCTAATAGCGATTTCACCTGACTAGTACTCATTCACACTTTCACATGTGCTGCTGATTTGATTAGTCAATTAATGTTGGCTGGTCATTTTGTCAGGATCAAAAAACAATGAAATTTGTTGTTTTTGTGAAAAGTTCATTTTTTTGGCCACTGAAGCTTTTAGCAATTATTTAAAATGCATCTGATCACTCTACACAATAATCTAGAAACAATGTGAATAAACACAACAGCTTAAGCAGCAAACTTTGCAAAACACAAAACTTATGTCACTGCCAAAAATTTTGGCCATGACTGTACTGTATTAGTTAACATTTAAATCCCAATCACCTGCAGTGTTTTGTCTTAATGTTGCGTATTTAGTGTTTACATGATTAAATGTTATGCTATAAACTTTTTATGTCTTTATTTTCTCTAGCGAATGTGGAGCTGACTCCAAGAACTTACTCCAAGAACCTTTTAGCTGGAAATGAGACTTTTTTAAACTGTAGCCTTTCAAAGCACTGCCCTGGTATTGATCCAAAAATAGCCTGGAAAGGGTTCAGCTCAAAACCACTATTAATTCAAAAATCTAAAAAAGAATTGCATGACTATTCAGGGTATTCTGAACGGCTCCTTTTTACGCCTGTACCTGAGGATCATCAAGCAGAGATCACATGTGAAGCAACGTTTGGGAAATATCTGAGTGCAAGTGCTAAAACAGTTTTGACGGTTCACTGTGAGTCATATTTCACATTATAATTTATCACACTGAAAAGCTTTTGATAACTCTTGCTGATAAGTGTTTTATGATTGTGTATCTTGCAGCTCATCCTCAGATACTGAACAGCTCTGCATGTTCTCTGCAACTGGATCTCCTCACTTGTGTGTGTGTCAGTCAGGGTGTGCCTTTGCCCGATATTCACTGGCCTCTGCTACAAAACAAACACCATTTTACTAAAGGCAGAGCATCATACGTCACTGTAAGAAGCACCTTCACAATGAATGTTGTGAACTTCACAAGTAACAGCACTGTCATGTGTGTCAGCAGAAACTACCTTGGTCAGACAAATGTGACTATTCCAGTCAACATCATTGAAGGTGAGCTGATTTAAATGTCAATAAGGTAACATTACCTAGCTGGAAAACAGATCAGAAAAAACATGTTTTCAACTGTTTTACAATATTACTCAAGCAGTAAAACACATCTTGCATTTCACTTTTTTAATTAATCGATTCTGTACAGTGCTTGATCTAGTATAGTCTAGTATAGAATATAGTGCTCGATTTTAAATCTTTTGTCACATAGGTCTTAGAAATGCATATAGGTGGACAATCAAAGGCCTGGTGATTGCATTATTCGTTACACTGACATTCTGTGTGATTTGTTTTTGGTAAGTAGTCTTAATCAATTGGTTTACTGATGTTTATTACATATTTTTAATGATATCATACAGTGCCGACTGAAAATCAATGTATGGTTTTTATTAGGCTTTACAACTGTAAGAAGCCATTTCTGTTCGCTGTTGTCTCATTACTAGTATTGAATGCTTTTTACCATTCCCAAAGATAGCTGCCCACTTCAACATAACCATGTATTGCTGTTTCTGCAGGATGAAAGCTAAATACCAAAAACTAACAGAGGTGCCCTACAGCTCACTGGAAAAGAGCAGAGAGACTGAAAACAACATCAAAACATCATGAACACTCGACTAGTTTCCTTGAGCAGCAAAACAGCAATGAATGCATTTATACTGAAATTTTCTGAGATCTGTTGAACAGATTTATAAAAGGCACTTCAATTCTTAAATGTCAACAATTGATTTAGTTCTTTACTTCTTTAAAATGGCCATGACCTCTTGGTATTTTCAAAAGAGCCTACCTTTTTTTAAATGACTGATGCTATTCTGTTGGTATTCAGCGCTTTAGACTGATGCAGAGTAATTTCTTATGGCTGGTTGATTCATCTAAAAATTTTTTTAAAAATGTTAAATTCTTATGGGCAGCAGTGCTGTGTGAAATATGCCGTTTATATAATATGTTAAAAATTTGTGACATTTGGAAATGGTTTCTTTTACGGTGTCACAAGAATAATTTCTAAAGATACATATCCTGTGTTGACGACCCTCAAAATGACCCCTCTGTATGCATATACACCCATAAACACACTCTGGAGACCAAAGAGCTGTAGCAAAGCGTGTATTTATTATCACTTAAGTGAGTTGAAGAACATTTGGGGCAGGAAAATGAGACAGTCTTATTTCTTGGTCTCTTCTTCCTTGGAAAGAGTTTTAATGAATTCCTCTTTCTTAGCCTGCAGTCTCTCCTCACGACGTTTACGTGCCTCACGAGTCTTGGTGCGACGAGCCTCCGCCTGATCGCTGCAGGGTGAAGGGACACACAGATTAGCACTGTTCTTTACAGCCGAGTAAGACAATGTTTGATCACTTTTACAGCTAATTGCCATGGAAAATTTCACTATTTTATCTCTTAATTCAAAAGATTTGTGTTGAGATGAGATGAAGCAGCTGGGCAGTGTAATGATGCAGTGCACACTGGGTAACGTCATTTGGACACTTACGCCAAGAGCTTCTTGCGGGCCTTGTCTGCCTTGAGCTTGTGTATGTGCTCCATCAGGATACGTTTGTTCTTGAACACGTTACCCTTTGCCCTCAGATACAAACTGTGGTACCTGAAGGAGAAACAGAATTGTTAAACATTCATTAATTTGTGGATCCACACTTTCAGACTATTAAGGAAAATGGATCTTGCCAAATCAAGATGTTCACAATAGCCATTATGAAAATCCTGCTATATGGTTTTATAGCATCACTTCATAAAAATAAAAAAAACTCTTGGGGTACAGTGAGCAATTAAAATGAAAACAAGAGCTCACATGTGCCTGTCGATCTTCTTGGCCTCTCTGTAACGTCTCAGAAGTCGTCGCAGAATACGCATGCGTCTCATCCAGCACAGCTTCTCAGGCATACGAGCATTTGCCGTACCCTTTCTCTTACCTGCATGCAAACACAGCCGAGAAAAGAGCTCAAGTATGATTAGTACCTGAAGGAGAAACAGAATTGTTAAACATTCATTAATTTGTGGATCCACACTTTCAGACTATTAAGGAAAATGGATCTTGCCAAATCAAGATGTTCACAATAGCCATTATGAAAATCCTGCTATATGGTTTTATAGCATCACTTCATAAAAATAAAAAAACTCTTGGGGTACAGTGAGCAATTAAAATGAAAACAAGAGCTCACATGTGCCTGTCGATCTTCTTGGCCTCTCTGTAACGTCTCAGAAGTCGTCGCAGAATACGCATGCGTCTCATCCAGCACAGCTTCTCAGGCATACGAGCATTTGCCGTACCCTTTCTCTTACCTGCATGCAAACACAGCCGAGAAAAGAGCTCAAGTATGATTACCCACTTTTTAGTGCCCTAGATTCCAGAACTATTTTTTCACCATTAATTTAAATTCTCTTTGGATCGCCAAGACTCCTGTTGTCATGGCAATAGCAACTAATAACCAAATGCCATTTAACTGGTACACACCAACGCCCATGTGACGACCCTTTCGCCGTGCCAGTGTATTCTTGCGGCATCGAGCACGAGAGTGAACGGTTACAGGCTTCTTGATGATCAACCCATCCTTCACCAACTTGCGAATCTGCTGCCCTAAAAGATCAAAAGGAAGAAAATTACTACTCCATGGCAAAAACTGCGTTTGCACCAATGCAGAGGAAAGTATCGAAGGAATTACTTACGAGAATTGGCATTGGCAATCTCATTGGTTTCATTTGGGTCCAACCACACTTTCTTCTTGCCACAGCGCAAAACGCTGGACGCCAACCTCTTCTGAAGCCTGAGCATACTGGAGAAAAAGAAGGGGACCGTTTTAGATCAATAGCATAACATTTTATATTTAGAACAATATTACATAATTTCCAATTTCTAAGTTTAATTGAACAATTCAAGTATTACTCCATCCATGGATTGCAACATAATATACACTGCAGCCTAACAAGTTGTCTTTCTTTTCTTTATATAAAAAGGCCACAGCATTGTTTACACAAGTACAAAATAATTGCATCAACTATTAATGTATATGATATTATAATATAGACCTGTCATCTTACTCAAATCTAGCAAAATATGGAAAGAAGAGACCAAGATGCCGTTAATCTGCTCTTGCTTTTAGGACAGGCAGCCCGTCGAAGTGACTCTAGTCTATACGGGGCATGATTGAGCATGTGGAGCACGTTTGCTAACCGGCCTACTCAAGCCGTAACGTTATACACCAAATGGACTTTGGCCGCCTCGGATAAACAAAAATAAAACATAGTAATGTAAAAGATAAGTACATTAAAACAGAGTACCACAAAATGCTAAACGCTTGCTATAATCGTTTTACTGCGCAGTGTAATAGAATCTAGGCGTTGCGTTTGCCAATCGCAAGGCACAACATGGCGATTATACCCAAATAGCAACGTTGCACCATAAATCGTCTTCAGACGTTTAATTATTTGTTTTAAAAAGTGTAAGGATTGCACACCTCAACATATAACATTTTTCCGCGTTAGATTCATAAGAAAAATCGAGTATTACACGTGTAAAGAAAATTTACCTCATGGCTGCTACTCAGCGGAAGTTGAAAGAGACTGTCAGTGCTGGAGACTTTGCGATTATACGGTTATATTAAGGGGAGGGGGGCGAATACTCCATAGGTAATCAATTACTATACGATTACTACAAAAGTAGATGGTTATAAAGGCGTTAAATGTACTTATTAGAAGTATAGTCAGTACTTTAAACAGTTATATTATAACTTCATCACGTAAGAGTATTTATATGCATTTAGAACATGATATGCCTCCCTCGATAACAGGAATGGTACGGCTTGTTCTACTGTTTATGCAGTTGAAAATGGAACTCCGCAAGGGAGTGAATGTTTATTTATTTGTTTATTTTTATTTATGTATTTATGACTATTAGTATTATTATTTAGTGTGATATATATTCATATAGGACACATATACATGCATCGATGCTCCACACTCCAGTTCAGATGGTGGCGGTAATGCACTAATAAGCTAGTCTGCCAACCGCCAATAAACAGAAAAAGAAGAAGAAGAAGAAGAAGGAATGGTACGGTCCACAAATGATACTGCTGGGTACTCTAGGCAGTGGTATTTCTAGGCTAGTTTTAGCGTGCTGCTTCATTGAAAAGGCCACACGGGGACAGTGTTTTGCCTGTTGAAAGATGTACTACTGTAGTAGTGAATTCATATTTGACAAACAAATAGTTTGGCGATGCAATAATACATACAAAGTGCAGTATTAGAAGAATTAGCGAGAATGTGCAAATAATTGTAAAAGTGGCATACGGTAGCTTCCGTCTTTGATTACTGGTTATTTGGTTATTCTCAGCTTGTTTTGTCCTGTTTTATATTCGTCTTCGACTTTGGAAGGAATCAGAGGGCAATGCAGGAAACCAGGTTGGGAGACTACTAAAACAAATCTCATAATAACCGAGTTTTAGCAGACAGGAATGCCGTTTTCCAATTATTAGTCTTTCATAAATTATTCATAAATTCTTATATTTGTCAGAGGCTGATTGACACAATAATATATTAGAATACTTTTATTGTCATTGTTTTTGAAACAATGAAAGACTAGCAGCTCACAAGGATTCACATAATAAAAAAGTACAGATACAAATAGAGATATTAAACAAGAAGAGAGGTAGTCCAGAATGTATTGTATGCAATGATGGTGCAAAATATCGCACTATAAAATATATACAGTGGAGTACTTTGTGCAAATAAACAATGTAGTGCTGAAAACAATATACATAATATGTGTATACTAAATATTAAGGATAGCAATATATATATGTACACAGACACACACACACACACACATACATACATATATATATAATATACATACAATAAACATGGCACATATAAAAATGGTACATATAACATGGTACATTTTTTACAAATAAAAACAGCAAAAATGGCACATTGTGATTTTCCTTAATAATACACAATCAATGGATGTGGTCGTTTCATATGGAGCTACATTGTACCTATGCCGTTATGCACAGTAGAACAGCCATCGTCTATCTCATAGTAATTTCGATTCGATCAACCAATCAGTGCGAGGATAGGCAACTATCACTGATCGAGCAGAGAACACGGCGACCACCGTGATGTCTCGTTCCCGCTCTCAGGGAACCAAGGTTACGATAGTAACCGGAGCGTTCCCTCTCGAGCTTTCACGAGACATCACGGAGATATTTCTCCGTTATGGGAACGATATTCAATCCCGCCGTGAGAGAGGCTACGAGCAGCCTGTACAAGTTACACACTCAGCGAAGATGGAACACACACAATTCCCAACCAATAGCGACGCTTGTTAGGCGGGCTTGCAGCTGATAGTTGGAGATAAGCCAATGAGCATCTAAAGCCCAGGCATACGAAATTTGCATATCTGGTCATTAATAACGTTGGCTGCGCTGAGAACAGGGCAGAAGCAACAACATTACTGTCAGGGGCTGCACAGAAATAACGGTGATAAACAGCATAACACATAACATGATAATCGAGGCAGCAACACACGAATAGAGGTAGCATAAATGTGAATCAGTCACTCATCGACAGAACTCGGGAGGGTAAGGACTGAACGTCCAGCTTGTAAAACCTGGCGAAGGTATTCTGGGAAGACCAGCCGGCTGCAAAGCATATATCTTGGATAGACATACCTCTCGACCACGCCCATGAGGAGGCGATAACTCTTGTTGAGTGGGCCCTAATGTGAAAGGGACATTCTAAACCTTGACTCGTATAAGCAGCCGTGATAGCGTCCATAGTCCAGTGGGAAAGTATGCCAATTAATTAGTCTATCCTAACTGTGATCTAAGTGTTTGTTTAAATTGAAAAAGAAGTTGCACCTTACTGTCTTT